GAATCAGCAATTCGACATCGAATTGGTCTTAAAAATTCCGCAGGATTATAAATGATGGACTGTATACGCATGCAATTTAATTCATTTTACCTACTCATCAATAACTGATAGACCGTGCCTGACTCATCCATATAATATTATAGGTCCTGCGAAATATTAATGAAACCGAACAAACAGACTGCATACATAAAACGTCCATTTTATGTCATATTCACGTTCATACGTCCATATGACCTATTCACTGATCTCGTAAATAAATGGATAAACAAAGAACGCTCCTAATGCTGCTAATTTAAGTAAAGGTGCTATAGGAGTTCTACGGCAAAATCGCCCATTTTCCCATGTAAATCTCCATAAGAAAATCTAAGGTCCCAAATGGCACTTTTCGGACCGTTTTGGAGTGGGGGTAAAATTTCCTAGAATTAGGCCCCGCCCCCTTTCCAGCGCCCAGGAAAGCATCGACCGTTCGCACTACCTCAGCAGCCGCCGAGGCGGCCACACATACTCGCTACCTGATACTGATGATACCGTAACTCTCGCTCTCTTGCTCTCATACCTCAACCTCGTACCTCATACCTCTCTCTCTCTCTCCCGCTCTCATATATAATCGACCCGCGCAGCTACTGCATCACGAAGTAGAAATTAAAAAAAAGTCGGTAACCACTAAGAACCGATCTCCCGTCCCCAGCTTGAAAGCCCGCTGCAGCAACCACTAGGCTATCCTAGCAGTTGATAATAAATGGTGAAAAGGAGGAGGTAACATGCAATCATGAGGAGCGGTCAGCCACCTTGGTCATATTGACACTTTGGGTGTCGCATACCTCATACTGATAATGGCGTAACTAATTCAAATTTCAGGTGTCTCATACCTCATACTGATAATGGCGTTACTAATTAAAATTGATGTGGGTGAAATAATTGTCGAGAAAATAAAAATTGTAAAATATTCAGTGAATCCATTGAGTGGACATAGACCGTGCATACCTTGATGCTCCATACAAGGTACTGATGATGATACACCTCCCGCTCATACCGCATACCTGTCTCTCTCTCTCGCACAACAAACACAAATTATTTTTGTTATGGTCTTGTAGGAAACCAGGTTTTATTATCAGCACAGTGCATACATCTAATAGACATCGCCTTAGAAAAAAATTGATTATAATATAAAAAGAGATTGTGTTAAATATCGAAAAAGATCCTTGTTATTTTTGATCAGAGGTTTCAATCAATTATTCCAAGAAATTCAGTACCTACCCATCATTAACATGAGCACCTCACAATAAGTGACGGAATTATAAAATATCTGAAAAACATAGATTACTGTAAAAGTTTAATTCAAAACTAGTTGACGAGTCTAAACAAGAGTTGCGGGTTTTTACTGATAACACAGATAGCCAATTATTTCAAAATAATTTCACTTACTTGTGAGATATCAACAAAAGGTACCAATCAATTATTCCAAGAAATTCAGCAGACAACAAGGCCAAAATTTTTTACACGTTCGCAAGAACAATTTGAAATAACTAGCGATGTAATTATAAAATATCTAAGAAACATAGATTAGTTTAAAAGTTTAATTTAAAAATGAACACTATACCAATCGAGTCTTGCGGTTTTGCCGCCATCATTACACTGATAACTGACAAAATAATTTTACTTTATAATATAAAATATATTTCATGTAAACATCATCCAGCGCGCCAGTTACCGACGCTATAACCCAGCACCTTTCCAAAGCCGGCGTCTTCAGTCGATCACACTAGCTTGCACACAGCCTTTGAGGCAAGGTCAATGACCGCATCGGACATACAAACACACTTGCAATCCAGCACCCTCGCGCTTCATCATTCTCATACATAATCATTTGTCTCCAATGCTCCAATAATCAAACTAATCAATAATAATCACAACAAATGAGAGACACAGCATTTCGATTCATAAACCAAAAAAGCAAATTATTGTTTAATTTGAAAAGGTTAGGTAAAGTTATAAGAGGCGTTATCTCTCTGGAGTCTAGTCCAACCTTGAAAAGATATTGATTATAATTTTATATCCAAAAAAAGATTCCAATTACTTATGTTATCTAAAAAAAGATCCTAGATCCTCAGAGAAAAAACTGAGGATTCAATCAAAATAATAACTATTCCATGAAATTTGGCAACAGGAAGACCTTGCGGTTTTGCAGCCATCATTTAACTGATAACTGACGAAATAATTTTAAATTATCCCTAAAACATTTTTCATAGAAGTGAAAACGTTCCTGTACCAAAATTTGTTTATAACACAAGACACCAAAACGAAAAATCAAGTTTATTGCTGGATGGTATCATTTAACTTGCACCATTTTTCACTTATGAAATAATTGCATTGATGACTCACCGCCCAGATCGTATCTTGAACAAAACCGCAAAGCTTTAAACTAAAAATGCATGTATTTAAATGGGAAAATGTGATCAAATTGGGTAAAAACCGATAATTGCTACACTTTTACATTGATTCTTATGGAAAACGTCTTCAAGCACCTGTTAGATTGGGGGGCCTTTCTCATCAGTTACACGAAAACCGTTCTGTCCTCCGTCCGTCCTACAGGTTAAAAGGGCTACGCTTAATCGGGATGCTCATTCGAGATTAGTGCGTCATAGAGATAACTAGGTGCTCTAATCATCCAGAATTTTTATCTGTGTTTCGTGGTTTTATTGAAAACTGTGTTTCTTCTTGAAAATATTTTCAAAGGTGAGTTAATTTATTTTTGATAACAGTTTATTTTTGGATTTAAGTATAAGGATTTTTTAATTGTGGTTATTATCTCAGATGTAAAACGTAGCCAAAAGGTGTGGTCAACTATTTAAGTAGATTATTCTTTAATTTAGCAGATTGTTCTACTAAATTATAAGTTTGAGAGATAACAATTTTTTGATTTCATAAAATATTACTTTAACAACTTTGATCAAAACTAAATTTTTTAATCTTTTACAGATAACATGATGCCAGACTTTGCTGCAATGCTGAGACATATAGCTGCTCTCCTCGGGCTCATTACTCCCGCTAATACGGACCAGGCTGTGAGGGACGGGCTCCTCGAGTGTACTCGAGGAGCCCGCAAGCTCAACAAGGCTCTCAAAGGAGCAAAGACCATGGGTGAAAAGCAGCACTTGGAGGCCTCACTCCGACACATAAGAAGTATGAGGAATCAGTTTAAGACAATGCTGAAGAAGGGTGCGGGAATTATACCATCACGTCCGGAAAAAATTGAGAAGCGGGTGCATTGGGATGACTCCATTTCTGCTTTTAACAGCAGAATAAGGACTGGAGTCATCTCCAATATAAAACACAAAGAGCCAAAAGCATTCTTGGTGGATTGTGCTACATTGTTCAAGAGGCGCATTAGGAATGCTCTTAAAAAAGATAATTCCCTCAAGGTGAATGCGACGTTTTGCGGGGAATTCAGCATCGTGAAAGGTGATAGAGTACTTGAAGAATTCAAGTACTTTACCACCTCCAACTCCCCCATCTACAAAGAAACTGATCTCGGACTGTGGTTAAATGAAAAGGTCACTGAACCCATCATGACCGAGTTGGAGGAATTCCAAGAACGGGATAGTGGTTGGGCGCTGAAGAAAATTATAAATTTGGGCATCAACATTAATAAATTCACGCCGCAGCTAGGATCCTCCTTCATCAAACTACCTCCTCAAATAGCAGCGAGACATGCCTGCGTTAACGTACAGAACAGCGATAACAGGTGTTTCGCATGGGCTGTTATTTCAGCATTGTTCCCGGCTCCATCAGACATTGGAAAGAGACCGTCAGCGTATCCAGACCCCGCAGATGTGTTGAAGTTGAAAGGGATTCAATTCCCAATGAGCATCAATCAGATTCCCAATTTCGAGAAACAAAATAGCCTATCTGTGAATGTTTACAAGCTTGAAAAATCAGGAAAAACCTTTAAAGTCCTACCGACATATTTAACCCGTAATAAAAAAGACAAACATGTGAATTTATTGATGATACAAGATAAATATGGTGATGGGGGAGAAGACGCTCCAACCAAATTTCACTTTTGCTGGATAAAGAATCTCTCCAGACTAGTATCCAAACAGCTGAGCAAGGCAAATGGCCGAAAACACATCTGCGACCGCTGCCTGCACTATTTTCATACTCAAGATAAGCTTGACAAGCATCAGGAAGACTGTGCAAAGATCAATGACACAAAAATTAAGATGCCAGAAATTGGAAAAAATATATTAAGATTTAAAAATTACAAGAACAAGGAAAGGGCGCCTTTCATAGTATATGCGGACTTGGAAAGCGTCCTAGCACCTACAGCAGATTCTAAAAGAACTCAGCAACATATTCCGGCTGCTGTGGGATATTACCTAAAGTGTTCATATGATGATTCATTATCCTTTTACAAGTCATTCCGAGGTGCAGAATGTATGCAGTGGTTCGCAGATGAGATGTCCCAGTTAGCAGAAAATGTGGCAACTGTGTTCTGGTGTCCATATGATATTGACATGACTCAAGGTAGAACATTCTAGACAATAAAATACCAAAAACTACAGCTATGGTTATTATACAAGTAAAGATTAAGTAAGTAGATGCGTCAGGTCTTGAATCTGTTGAAGTGGAGTTTCTAGTTTCGTTTCTACAGTGGTTTTTGGAGATGGTTTCTTGCTGCGGACCAATTCCGATAGTTGTCCATTCCCTGCTTTCCAAAATGCTGTTGTTCAAGAATTCCACTCGCAAGTTATACTGGTAGAATCTATTCCGCGATTCTGGAAGTACTGTCTGGAAAGTACGTGTACGATCGTTGTCTATGAGGCGGTAGTAGAGCGGAATCCATAAGTCGTTGACATAGCTATCAGTTTTCAGCTGAGCCTTGATATTTCGGACTTCTGATGGTGGATGTATGTAGAGGATATTTTGAACGACTGCTGCGAGGGCGATGAAGTTAGAACTAAGCCAAACCATTGCCTCAACGTTAATGACTGAGTCCACTATTTGGTCAGGGCTTTTATACAGAAATAACAGGTATTTTGCGATGAGGGAGGTCCATCTACTTGCGTCCTCCAATCAGGTCTATTATAATGCATGAAACAAGGAAGTCTTGTCTGCAACCCGAAATCTTTTCTACATTCGAGTGGTAATTTCCCCCAAATATTCAAAAGTGTGGTACTATCGACATACTGCAGAAAGAACCCAATTGGCAAATCCTTCAACTCATCAGCACTACAATCTTCTATATTTTTTTCGCCAGATAAGAGTTTCAACAATTGATCACACATCTTCGAAAACTTGAACTAGACTGAAGCTCGCAGTTGTCGAATATACGGATGTTTAGTTTCCCTTTCCTTTTTGCTTTTTAGTGACCGCTGGTACTGCAGTCTGCTTCACCTTTTCATTAATCATTTCAATTACCTGACCTTTTGTAACTAAATCGGTATCGTTTATAGCTTTTCCAGCTCTAACTATTCTCTTATCGCCGATGCTTATATAAGTTTTGGTTATATTAAATAGCTTATGTTGTTCTTCCAAAGCAGATATTCGTACAGCCAATTTTGTTTTAATATCATTTTCAATAGACTGATTTTTACTCAGTAAACTTTCAATTTTCTTCTGACTGTCCATCATTTGGGACTCCAGCTGCTTATATCTATTCTCTTCTTGAGGGGGTACTGCAGTTTTCACTCGGTTTTCCAGATCTTTTCTGAACGTTTCTGAGATTTCTTGAAGTTTTTTATCCGTATAGGATTTTGTAACATAATCTTGTATACCTCCAGGACTTTTTACCTTACTCAGTTTGGTTACTAAATTTTTGTAGTCGTTAAGACGTTGCGTACGCCCAAACTTATCGACTGACATGATGATACTGAGGAAATAATCAAGTGTTTTAATTTCTTATCTTACTAGAAAGACTTTGTGGCGCAATTGGTAGCCAACAATAGTCTGGTCGGACGCATGATGAAAATGTTTTCTTCTTTTTTCTCTCTCTCTCTCTCTCTGTCATTCTCATCAGATAATGAAATAGCGATTTGTTTGTTTGATTTTTTATTATTATTAAAAATTACATAATACATACATTAACTGCTATAAGCTATACAACACTTTCCAAATTGCATATTCTGATGAAATCTGCTTTTATTTTTTCTGGGTTCAGGTGTACAAACTCTAACATGAAATAACATAGTTCACAAATATTTAAGTTACAATATTCTTTCAGCACATTTAGACAATTATTTTCATTAACAGTATTTACATTGTTATAGTTCAACAGATCGTCATAAAAGGTTCTAAAATCTAGTTCTGCGAGTAAACGCAGCCTGTAATCTATTATATCTTGGATTTTCAAAATTGATTGGATATCATCTACACAAAAGCATAAATTAACTTCTCTGCTTGTTAACTTAATTATTCTTTCTCCCAAAAACATAGCTGAGGAAACAGTAAAGTTTTCTGATAGAGAATAAACTATTATCACTTCACTAACATCGTCATCATCATCATCATTATCCATCTCCATTGTGGAATTGACGATTTCCAGAAATTCGTTCCATTCCACACCGCTAAACGATACAGTCACTTGTTCTTCAGGTAGGTTCAAAATCGTACTACTCACTTTTATACTGGGTATCAATCCTTGAGCGATACTTATTCCGGCAATGATTTTGAAGTTATTGGTTGAATAGCAGGTCTCACCCAAAAATCTCGATTCTTTCTTGATTTCTTGGTCAATTTTCGTCACCATACTGTTGAAATAGGTCCAACACGGAAAAGAACAGGACGAATTATATCCAGTTGTTTCCATTGAACTATAACTTGCCATGCTTCTTCACCAGTAGACTGAAGTAGGTTTTGTGAAATTTGCTTTATATAGGAAGCTCCCACCACTATTTTAATGGTTTAAACTTGTTTATGTTCACCTCCAGAAATAGGAGTTTAGATAAAGCCCACCCACTGTCTTTCTCTTGGAATTCAGAAGATTTTGATACTAAAAGTTGTTCAAATTCATCGAATAACTTGCCCAAATCGGTGTTGGGCGAAATAGCGGCAAAACGAGAATTGAAGGATTTTATTTCCTGATTTTCTCTTAAAACGTAAAGTCCATATAATTCTAGGTTGATTTTTAGATTGGAGTATCTAGAAAAACCTTTTTTTATCAAATCCATTATTTTAGGTTTTAATTCTTCCAGATAGGGTCCAACACTGGTTTGATGAACATTTGTAAATAGCCTATAGGAAATAATTCGGTTTTTAAACGCTGTTTTAATGATCTGAACATTGGGTTCCAGGTCCGTACAACACTTATTTTTATGTCTATGACTTAGGTTATGTGAATGAGAAGAAATATTTTCCTCACAAACTTGACAATGCGAACTCATAACTGAAACTGAGTGATAAATTGTGGAAAATTAAATTTAAACTACATCCGTGGTTTTATCGATCCAGCTGTTATGTGAATTATCAAAACCCAACCATTTCACAAAAATTTTATTTCCCTTCTTTCGTAAGACTTGTTCAACGAGGAACACATCAGGCTGTTTTGTTTTTTGTAATTCTTCTTCATAAAACCCGCCACTTATAGGCTGACCTTGCAAATCCTCCAACAAATATGTCGTGGGGTTTGTTATTTGTACTTTAGCAACCTTGAAGAGTTCCGTACTCCAATTCGGTGTATATCCTTTTTGAAAAACATGTTTAAACTTGCTTATGCGGACTACGTCACCAACCTTGAACTTTTGTCTACCAGCAACTTTCATATGACCATAAACGGAATCAAGCACTGTCTTTTCATTGCGTTTATTAACTTTACTTGGCTTCATATGTATCGTACTATGTTTGCTATCATTATATGCGGTAGTAAGTGGCTGTAATAATTCCAACCATTTATGGTTTCCGTTCAACGTAAATTGCTTAAACAGTTTTTCTTTCAAGGTTCGAATTACTCGTTCTGCAATAGATGCTTTTAGAGGACTGAATGAGCTATAATGATGTATCCCATGTTTCTTCATAAGACTCGAAAATTGAGTGTTATAGTATTCCTTTCCATTATCCGAAATAAGTTTCTTAGGTATTCTTCCAGAAGTTTTCAGTATACTCTCCATGGCTTTGGTTACATCCTGTGCCGATTTAGACTTAAGAGCTCTAGTCCAGAGGTATTTAGAAAAACAATCAATAACAACCAGTATATACTTGAATCCTTTGTTTTCTCGAGCATACTGATCAAGCTGGGCTAGATCTGTAGCAAAAGTATCATCCAAACCATACTGTATAAATCTTCTACGATTGAACTTTCTACGTGCCGGTTTATGTAGTTCTTCAACCACCTGCTTTCTGGCTTTCGTGATACTTGCCATATTATGATTGTTGTGAAAAGATCCAAACTTGATCGAGGTTAGCCTGGTAATGAGTTAAGATAAAGCACCTTAAACTATTTATTAAACTCAATCACATCCAATTCCGCCAATTCTTCCAAAATACTCATGATTTCATTGATGTTATTGGTATTTCCAGCTTCTTGTGATGCATCCAATTTGACAAGTCTGTCAATTAATTCGTTGACGTCATCATAATAAACATACTGTTTTGGTTTCTTATTATATTTCAACAATAGAGCACTTCCGGACCTATGTTGAACTCTTGTAGATTGATTTCGGCCAGATGGCGAGACACTGCTACTTGACTTAAGCCTTTTAACTTCAGTTGCCGTTGAGAGCAAAGGTCTAACAATGCGTTTATATTTCGAAGATACGGATCCTTTAACTTGTTGTGATGGATCAAAGTTTCTTCGATGAGCGTTGGTCCTGTCTAATATATCCTTGAACTGCAACTGATCATCCGCCGTATGATAAATCGGGTCTTTCAGAAATAGGAGATCATATAATCCCCGTGTTCCCGTATAGGTGACATCCCCTACTTTGATATCTCCGTTTGCAAGAAAGTTGACTCTTTCTGATCCCATGGTCCACTTATCGGTTTCCATATCATGTTTCAATCCGTAAGAATGATCTATTTCGTCTGATTGCTTATAGTATCTATCTACATACTCTCGTGCTGGCATGGGAAACTGATCTAGAAATTCGTCATACACTGCTGATCTTTCGTGAATTGATTTTTGTAGATCCTCTTTCACCTCATGTAGTGGTTTATGAAAGACATCCTCGTCATCATCATCATCATCACTTTTCAAACTCTCGCTTGTTTGAGCAAGAACCTTTGTTGGTTGGAACTCTACATGTTTCGGGATACTGCGCTCAAATTTAACGTCTGCTTCGTGCTTAATTTTTTCATGTTTCACTCTGGTTTTTCTATCAACCGCTTTTTTGACAAGGTTCCTTAGAGGCTCTGTTATGGGGTTTATTAACCTATTGAGCGCCTCATCATCCTCGTTTCTTTCCAGTTTTAGAGCCAAATACTTTTTTCTTATAGATCTAGCAGCGTTCAGTATTTTCTTCTTGATATTCCTATCATTTTCGCTTGGATTCATGATGTTCAACTGAGCAGCAGCAGCAGCAGCACAAGACTGATGCAGCTTAAAGGCTGCTCTGTGTACAGCTAATATACAGCTTTCAGACTGCTCTGTATACAGCTTTTATACTGATCTGTATACAGCTATACAGCTTCCAGACTGCTCTATACACAGCTATACGGGTCAGTATACAGCTATACAGCTATACTGGTCTTTCTACGGTAATCAGCTCTACAGGTTTGGTGGCAGGTCTGTAAGAGCTCGTAAGGCGGCACTTAGATTGCTTTAGACAGGTGTGTAGACGGCAATGTCTCAACGGAGACTGATGATTGGTGTTAATCCTATGGAGTTATATAGGTGCTAAACTGGTTTCGGTATCTACCCTTCGTAATATCGTCATCCTTGACAATGACTAGGAATCCGTATCTGTCTTTCCAACACTCTGTACATATTTGCTTGAACGTATTGAAAGACATATCTGTGTTAACATGATCATCGTACACATGTTTCAGGTTCGTATCGTCCTGCTTGAAAAGCAAGAGCATGTTTGAATTATCTCTCACCAACTGTTTTGGGATTTTCGAATACGTCTGACAAAGATAGAAAGAGTCGATTGCGTTATGGCGACCCATGCAGAAGTAGTTCCTTATCTTATCCTGTTTCTCGCAGGCCACATCGTCAAAGATAAACACTGAATCTGGTTGAGCTGTTTGCGGATCTACAACGGTTTCATTATCACTGTATCCGTAAAAGTTTACACCGACAGTTCGTTTTAAAACCGCTTCTAGGAACTTATACTTATTCTGGTTCAATGATTTG